CTACAGTACTTTAGAGGTTAAGCCAGGCAGAGATGCTTCAGGAGAGAGCAGAAGAATCCCAGAACCACTCACCAGGGGAAGGGCAAACCTAGTGTTTACTGAGGCTAGTCCGCGACTGGCTCGAGCGCGGATAAACACGCTGTTTCCGTGTTCCAGGGCTTGGCATGGCGATGAAGCCAGCGCATGGGGGGGAACTGTCTCATTTTCATGGAATTCCAACTTCCTGGCTTGGGCGTGGAACCTGAATTATATCACGCCAGTGGGAATGAAACTAATCTCTGACAGCAACTGGACAGGCAGAAAACCCACTGCCGTTGCGCCAGATAAAATCAGCACGGCCAGAGCTATAATCAAACAAAGCCCCTGCTGAATGAATCTAGACTGTGCTCTTTTGTGTGGAATTAACTGCACGCATTTAAATGCACAGAGTTCATTTAATGACATCTGCCTACCGGGATGCACAGCAGACCCCAAAAGCTTCCTAAACCTGCTTATCTTTAGGACAATCTGGTGTTCAACTGTCCTTTCTGATTTCTGTCATTCTGATGCAGGATGTCAGAAACGCAGCCGAACTAGGGTGCGAGCGACTCTCGCGCTGTCCATCTTTCCCCGTGCCCTGAGCCGTCTCGTCTTCCCTGTGCAGGAGAGGGGGCGGCCGTGCTGCTGCGCTCGCTGGAGCCCCTGCAGGGCCAGGAGGTCATGAGGGAGCTGCGGGGAGCCCGGCGGAAACCAGGCTCGCGACCCCTGAAGGACAAGGAACTTTGCAACGGCCCCTCCAAGCTCTGCCAGGCACTGGACGTCAGCAGGGGGTTCGACCAGCGGGACTTGGCCCGCGACGGCGAGGTGTGGCTGGAGCAGGACCCCGACACGCCGTCGCGGGCGCCCCAGGATATAGTGTGCGCCCCCCGCGTTGGCATCGACTCGGCCAGGGAGTGGGCCGCCACACCCCTGCGGTTCTACGTGCGGGGGAACCCCTGTGTGAGCGTGCTGGACAGGGCAGCCGAAAAGCAGCCCACCACTCCCTGACGGGCGCCCCCAGTGATCCCAGCAGGAGGGGGGAGGGCAGGCCTGGGCGCAAGCACTCAAGAGCCAAGCAGCACTAAGGGAGAGCACGACATGTACTCCTAGAAACCCCCAGGCAGTGCCAGATTAATTCATCATACCCCTGTCCTGTCTACTTCCTGTCACTTCATGAGCTTTTTAATCACCAGTCAGCTAATAAACTTTTCTACTACCATGTTTTCCTATATTAACCACAAATCAAACACTTTCTTATTTCTTTAAAATAAACTTCCATTTCATCTACCTAAACCAGCCCGAATCGTTTCTTCTTCATTACCGAGTGAGAGTACTTTCTTCTGTTGGGACATAAAGTACCGTATCCGAGTTTGGGGTGAACAGGTAACAGTTCCCACGCGCTCACTCATTGCGGACGCCCTGGGAGACCAAAAATCTGCTCTTTTCTTGTTGAGAAACACTCTGAAGCGAACAAAGCAAGTGAGTCAACAGTTTATGTCTAGGGATGATAGCTTCCCTAGCAAACAGATGTCATCCATTATGTCTGATAAAAAAAAAAGCACAGCTTCTCTGTGTTTACCGTGAATGTCAAGAACCGTCTGTATCGCGTTACTGAATTCTGGTAAGGGCTGGTATTTTCTAGGGAATCCGAGATGGAAATAAATGCACGTTTACAGATTGTGACATGGGCTTGTCTCCCAGAGTCCTACGGCTGTGGTTGCTACACCACCCGCCACCCATTCCCCTCCAGGTGTGCATCTCCGAGCACTTAGCACTGAGCCCCTCACCTGCGCTTGTCTGGGACCTCCTTGTCGAAGAGGTTTCTTCTGGCTGTGCCCAGCTGCAGGGCTGCGCATCGTTCTGCTTCCATCGGGAGGCTCTTCCTCCTCATGACAACCCAAGGTGTTAAGGGTGATGGAGCCCTCACGCTGTCTGGTGCAGTCATTACAGCATGCTATACCTTACAGTGCGTTTTCTAGCCTGGGTTACATGACCATGTTGGGGAATTTCAGTGCCCTTGACGGAACTACTGAAGAGCTACGTGAAAGCAGGACAATTTTATCACAATCGGCAAGCGATACATGTACCACCCAACCCTGAATTAAAAAAAAAAATCAGGTAAATAGAGGAGCACTGCCGTAAAGCAACTACAGCTGTATTATTCAGACTTCAGTGCAAAATGTGTTCTTCCAGCGCAGCCAGCTCTGCAAAAAACAGTGCGATTGGGAGGGAGGAGAGCCCCAGGTCTGGCTCTTCACAGCTCCCCTGTAACTTCGCTCTCTCTAATTTAGCCGACAAGGACGCAAACTCGAATCGGCATTCTAGATCCGCAGAATCCTCAGTTCCACTCGGGAATTCCAGTCATCAAGGGTTTTTTTCCGAGTCCCCCCCCAAATAAAAACAGATGGGGTGGCGGGGAGGCGTAGGGGGTAGAAATAAAAACGCAGCTCATTTTAATCTCGACAACTGCAGAACCGCTGAGCTGGCGGAATTGCGATAACTTGTTTTTCTTTTTCCTTTTTTGTTTGGAGTGGGTGGCGGTAAAAAAAAAAAAAAACACTCTTTGGCCTGGGAGACGAGTGAGGAAAACAGCGAGAATCGGGAGCACCTGTTCCTCAGCATGCCCGCTGCTTTTTGCATTTCACTTGCAAAACTACCCGATAATATGAAGAGTCAATACCCAGTGTGCACAGTTCTCATTTTCCACCTCTTCTGTTTAAAATATGCATGAGCTCAGCCCCGTTTCCTGTACCTTAGCAACACAACAAACAACTGATTCATCATCAGAAGAAGCATTGCAATACACAATAGTAGACAATGTGTCAGAAACCCAGTGACACAGGCGGGGACATCGCATGCTACATCTTCCGTAATTAATACCAAAGACAGAATGGTCACAGACTTGTTTTAATACTGTAAACAGCAGATGCATCATCCAGTGTTGCAACACAATTTGAAATTAAATTCCTGCTGTTTCTCAAAGAAGGCTGCTGAATCTCAGAATAACACCACCTACTACCTACAGTACATCATCATTAATCAGAAGTCAATCAGCTGTTCCCAGCTGTAACTGTAACAGGACACGGTTGGTTTTCTAACGGTAACACACAAGTACCTGGAAACTCACATCCGCAAATCAATCTCTGCTCAAGTTTCATTATTACGGCTTGTTCTGGGTTTGGTTAATCTAGTTAAAGCTATTTTACGAGTTTCTGAAATCCATCCGATGAGACTTTGCATTCTTTGTGCTGCAAGACAAATTTCTGTCTTGTAACAGATGTGAGGCCACCGAGCCTCTCAGTGCCCACAGCCCTGAAGTACCAGAGCAGGAGTGTGCAGAAGCCTCTCGTGTGTTTGACATGCTTACCGAGTTATTCTTATTCTTTGTCCACGCTCACTGTGACTTCTGTGGGACATCTGAAGCACTTCATAGCACGATTCTTAAATCACATATTCACCCTAAAGGGCTGCTGAGCACTATACTGCAAAACTTCATACATCAACAGTATTAACGAGGGCATTATTACAGAGGGCATTACAGTGTCCTTGATCTTCTTAGGTGAAAAAGGAATAATCTCACCACAGAGAAAGAGGGTGGAGGGCAGTGTTGTGCACAATGTCCTAAAGGTGACATGGTTAAGTGAAGCAAGGACCTGGTGTCTTTCAGACTGGTTTTCTGTACAGATCAAAAGTCCCTAAAATCATCACCTCATACAGAGTTAATGTTAAGAATGGTAGCTGTTGATTGCAGTAGGAGGTTGGGTTAATGCAGATAATCTGTAATGTGAATTTCATCGACAGGGTTTTGTAGCAACCAGGTTCATCCTGACGTATATTAACTAAGTTAAGCAGCAGTTTAGTTACTGTATTCACAGCAGTGCAGAACATATAAATTGATGTCCTTCATTTTAATTTCCACAGTTGGCCCATCTTTTTTTAAGATCAGTAAGTGCCAGCAGTGGTCTGTCAAGAGTCTATGATGATTGTCCATGAACAGGCCCCTCCTTTGTGAAGAGAGCAAGGCCATGTGGCCTTGTGACGTATCGATTTCTAGATGTTGGCGAGACGAGGACAAAGCCTGCAGGATCTCCTCTTCAGTTTCACCTTTGTGGGTGGAACAGCAAGCCCAGTGCAATCCCATCTCACTCTGGTGCTAGCTGATGGCTATAACTGTGAGGCTGCCTGTCCGCTAGACATCTCTGTCATTTAGGTTCAGTAGCGTTGGTAAACATTCGTTGACCTGAGAAATCTCAGCAGGACACAATTTCCACATCCCTCCAGGAAAGTAGGACTGCCTCTCCCCTGCGCATGTCAGCAATGTCCCCCGTATCATCACCCTTCCAGCCACAGCGCCGCTAGCAGGCTCCAGCATTGGCAGCCAGGGGTCAGCAAAGGGCAGGGATGTGGGCAGGCTGCTGGCATGACATTCGGGGCCCCGGCTGGCAGAGTCATGGCCACCTCAGTCCAGGGGTGACTGGAACAGGGAGATGATGGGGTCCTCGTGGTTGGTGACCACCAGCACGCTGCGGAACTTGTCGAAGAGGGTCTTGAGCTGGGAGCGCCGCATGTTCTCGTTGTACATGATCTCCTCCAGGTGGTGCCGCCCTCGGAAGTAATGCAGCAGCCTGGGGGGGTGGGGGGGACGACATCACAAAATTCATACCGCCGCCGTCCCTCAAACCCAGAACCGCCCCCACCAGCCCCGCGGGCGAGACTCCTTCACCAAGATCTCGATTTCACCCGCTCAACTCTACACCCCCCAAAAATCTCCCGAGGTTTCTCTTGGATATGCGCTTGACATAATAAGATCAGGGTGAAGGAACCAGAAGAGTTAAAGAGCAGTACACACCTTCACCGCTAGTCCTGGAAAAAAACCTGGTGCACCTTTGGCGCTGGCACAGGGTGTAGTGAACGTGCACTCACTGTACAATTTTCCTACAGGCTGCCTATAGCACCCATATGGAATTCCACAGCTGTGTACCACTAAAGTAGACGTTTACAGTTTTCCTACAAGAGGGTTTACGGTTAAGAAACACCAGCGGAGGCTTTGACCACTTTCACTCCAGCAACCCATGAGCCTTTGCTCTCCCAATGTCCTGAACCCCAAGAACGTGCCCCGGAGTCAGGAAGCAGAAACCAAGTGACTAACAAACCCCAGGGAAGCAGCGTCAACCTCTCCAACGCTGGAGGTTCAAGCAGACAGGGCTAGTGCATGAGCGACCTGCACCCCGGGCCGGTGGCCGCGGTGTTGGCAGAGCAGCGAGCGGGCCGGCCGGGCGGGTTAGCTCTGCAGCGGCCTGTGCGGTCAGAGGGGGCGGGGGCGGGAGCGGCGCACCTGGCGAACATGCGCAGGTCTTCCGGGCTCTGGGCGGCCGGGATGCTGAGGATGACCTGCCGCTCGTGCTCCGTCAGGCTGGCCAGCAGGGTCTCCGTCATCCTCTTGTTGAGGGGGGAGTCCCCCCCCGGGGCCAGCTCGGCGCTGGAGTTGTCCATGCTGGGGCTCGTCAGGGTCATGTCGTCGCTGCTGGCTGGCGGGGGCGGGGGGCAGGGGGGGGAGGCAAGCGACAGTCAGCTCTGAGAAACCACAGACCTACACTGGGGCGTCCAGAGAGGCCACGTCAAACTACCGCTGCCTGAAACCCGAATGCCAGGATGTCACCTAACCCAAAAAAAGAAAATGGGCGCAGACTTCCACCTCCACACTTGGCTGAGCAGAACAACCGTATCCCCAGAGGAGACCGCCAGGGGTGGGAGTTCACAGCGGGTGCCAAATCATTTTGTTTCCCCTTCTGGGCCAAGAGCAGAGCTGCGGTCGAGGACTCGCTTTGACGTCCGACAGCGAGCTTCCCTTGAACCCCGTATCTCCTGCCAGCTGAGCTATGTTCTTCCACATTGTCCTATTACACTAAATCAACCACCACCTGTTACCTCAATAACGCCACTGGCCGGAAGAGCTTAGCTCACAGGACAAACGGGCTAGATGGACCAACCGGCCTCTGCTCGTTTGGAACCATTCCCATGTTTCGGGGGGGGGGGTGCACGCGTTTTCACCGGAGCATCGGAGCTCTGAAAACCCTGTGTGGGGGGGGCGGCGGCGGCGGCAGCAACGTGACGTACTTGGGGAGCCGAAGCTCAGGGCGCTGGGGGTGCTGAGACTGCGCCCCCCCACGCGGGCCGCCAGGGGCAGCTCCTCGTCCCGCGGGCGCTGCTCCTCCTCGCTGGGGGGCACCAGCAGGCAGACATAGGTGTGCAGCTGGATCAGGAGACGATGCTGCAGCATCCAGATCACCATCTGGATCAGGTTAGCCTGCCACCAGGGGGGGACACAGCACAGGAGAGTCAGAGAGCGAAGGGGCAGCAAGGATTTGACCTTTAACCTTAATGTGCGCAAACACCACACGGCTTCACCCCCGTGCCCACCCAGGTGGCCGGGCACGGCTCGCATCTCTCACAGATCTTTTCTGACGTGGGTTTGTCGCGGGCCAATTCAAGTATTCGAGATCGTCAAGAGGAAACTATGTGGAAACGCATTTACGACTAAGACCAGGAGGTATCTTGAAGCAAAAGGGTTTTGCGCGGCTGAAATGAGCTACCCAGCCATGCTTTCAAAGCCAATCCCCTGGCTTCTTTCAAGAAATGGCGATGTGAGATTCTCAGATCAATTACCTGGCTTCATCAGTAATTCTGACTCAGTCCTGGGAATTAAGCCCTGCAAAGCTGGACACTAAATCCTAATATGTTAGGGGAGTTATATTCTTTATCATACTGCGCTGCTGACTCATAAAAACTTATTACAATCCACCCCAGCAGACCTAGTCTCGCTACAGCACTGCAGATAAATCACCTCTATGCTCTGAACGTTAGCCAAGCAAAAATATAATAGAAAATAAGATAGCAAGGGTCTCATAACTCTTTCTTCTCTTCTTATACAGATGGTGGAGTAGCTCTAAAAATACTTCCCCGTTTTTCTTTTATTTAGGTCAGAGACAGGACTCTTCCAGAAGGCCCACTGGGAGCTGAACACCTCTCAGATCCTTCCCTTCTGCTGGGTATCTACGGGAGGAGCCACCGCTGTGTCCCTTCCGACCCTGAGCCCAAGAGCTACGTCACCATTCTACCACGTCTTGCGCTTTTAGTTCGTCGATGCGGCCTTACCGCCATCGTGAGGGTCGGATGCAGGAAAATGCGAGGAAAGGGAGTAAGTGAAGAATGAGATCAGAACCGCCTTTGAGTTCTCGGCAATACACAGCTGCAGTATCGATAAATGCTTCCCGCTTGTCTCTAACCACTTGCCAGGCCTGTGGTGTACTTGTACAGAAGCCCCGAGCAGCTGCCGAGTCGACGAAGCTGGGGCGAGACATGGCAGGCAAGCCAAGGCCACTCGCTATCAGAGAGCCAGAATGAAAAAGACACCCCTCTCTGGCCTTGGTCTGACAAGCGCAGATCCGCTTATTAGCTTTGGAAGGCTCTGCTACTCTCACTTCATCTGCTCTTTAATATACAGGCTGGCCCGGGCCGTTTCATTTCACCATATGTGGGTTTTTGTAAAAAAAAAACAAACCAGTTGATGAAATGTTTTCTGATTCACTATTTTTTTTCAAAGGCAGCCACTGGCTTCAAGACGCATAAAAATGATGTCATTTAGTGCAAACGCTGGACTTTAAGGTGCTTTGTGAGCGGTACTTCAGTACAGGTTTCGCGATTCGTTTCCCTTCTGTCCTACTATACGTGTTCAAGGTGGGTCTGAGCAGTGTTGGCGCAGCAGGAATGCCTGTTTCTCAGCACACCTCTGCAGAGAAGATCCGCAATACTCAGATGGACACAGAACAACACACAAAGGACAAACAAAACGTATCCGGCGTCTCCTAAGGATGCAAAAATACCTAGCACAGACACTGGAAGAACCCTGAAAGCAAGAAGATATTTTGTTTCAAAGCCATTTTCTAACGCTCTCCAGAGGTGCAAACAATAATCAGGCCTCTTTCACGCCAACTCTTACGGAGATCGGAAATTTGCCACTTTCAGATTCTTATGACATGAGGGTAATTAAAGATCTGGCTTTGCTTTTCCGGTGGGTGCGTATCCTGACCTCCTCCACCGGAGGGTCCAGAGGGTTCCGGAACTCCGACAGGGACACAGGCAGGGAAAACTTGGCCAGCATGGAGGGCAGGTCGTGGCCCGGAAACTGCTGTGCAAAGTGTTCAGCCAACGGGGAGTAGCTAGGAGAGGAAACACAGGGAGCGTTACTACCGTCTGTCTGTCCGGCAGGCCTCTGACACAACACCAGACACGCCACTCACCCGACTGTTGAACACTGACTTGACACTGCAACTTCACTTCACTACAGTGCAGCCAGCACCTGGATGGGAGACCTCCTGGGAAAGCTGAGGCTGCTGCTGGAAGAGGTGTTAGTGTGGCCAACAGGGGGCGCTCACCCTGCTGCCTGTGTGGGTCCTAATGCCGCATTATAGTGATGGGGACACTATACCGTTCACTGGCTACATTTTCCTCTGGCCTTTTCTGATCCTGGCCTCCTAATAATCCCCATCTATGAACTGGCTCAATCACTCTGCTCTCCTCCCCACTGAGAGCTGGTGTGTGGGGAGCGGACTGGTGCATCATCCAGGTGGGGCTGCACACTGGTGGTGGTGGAGGGGATCCCCATGACCTGTACAGCGCTTTGAGCGGAGTGGCCAGAAAAGCGCTATATATAAGTGTAAGGATTATTTATATCTATTTATTACTTTGCCATAACTCGACATAAAGAAAGAAAAAAAAGTTATTATTTTAATGGGGGGAATCAGAAAGGCGAGGAAGCGTTCTGAATAAAAACTGATCCGCGACACAAGGAGAAACCCTGACTAACTGGTGCCAGCAGGGGCCCCTGCATGCCTCCCTGCAAGCGGCTGTGGGCAGAGTGGGCGGGAGGGGGGCCAGACCAGTGGCGACAAGGCGAGCACGCTGCCCCGCCCCCTCCCCTCCGCCTGCCCTGTCCTGCGATAGGACAGCCAAGCCACAGGAGGCCAGCGCGGGACACAGCCAGGCCAGCGCAGCAGCTGCCAGCACGCTCCTCTGGCGCTTCGTCCTTCTGTTTGTCTTGAATTAGTTACAGTCGGGACCCGACTCCCTGCTTCCGAGGGGAGCTTTTCTCCTTTCTGCCTCTGCGCACGAACCTCAGTGCTTTTTCCCCTCTGCCTCCATGGGCGCCCAAATCAATGTGCCTTCTAACTAATTCCCTCTTACTGTGGGGTACCAGCCATCCCCAACAACTGTTTTGTTGCTTTGTTTTTTTTCTAAGATAATTAAAATAGCCAAACATGCAAACAGAGACAATAAAGAAAAGGCTTAGAAAGAAGGGGAAAACACTGTCAGTGAATAATCAACATCCTCCAATCCATCCTGCCAGAGGAAAAAAAAATCAATTCTCCTTCTCTGCTGTAACAGAACCGACTCAAGAACAGTACTTTACTTCACCTCTGTTTGCCATTAAATTCAGCTGGGGGAGAGAAGCTCCGCTGACCGAGGCAGCTGGAAAACCTCTGGCTTTGTGCTCTGTCTCGGAGGGGGGAGTGTGTTCACAGCTGATCCTGCCCGAGCTAATAAAAGGTCTGGCTGAGCAAGGAATTCATTACCTCCCAGGAGGGATGGGCGGCTCACTTTGATGCTTCAGCTCCAATACAATACCTTGGACACATTTACTCAGTCCGCAAAAAAGCCTGTCTTGGTGCAGGAACACGCGGGTATAGAAAGCCATGGGGGCCTGACTCTGCAATCTGATTTGGTTCATCTGCAGAAGACTGTTTATTCCCCTACGGCTCATCGAGAGCGTGCCAGTAAATGAGCAAGGGAAGTTGGGCTGGAGAACCTCCTGACAGCTGGACAACATCTCTCCCACTGCGATGAAAGAAACCTACAGCGTTACTGTACACTGTAGAGGCTTGCTAATAACGGCTTAATAAGTTTGCACACATGCTTAACTGCGTACGTCTATGTAAAACCCTAATTATTTCGGCAGCAAAGCTTTTCTAACAATGAAACAGACGGCACAAAGCTGCCCTTTGCATACGTGCACTTAGGCCCCAACCTGCGCACAGGGTGTAAACAGTAAACCGTGCCACAGGACAGCCCAGCCATGGGACTAAGACATGCATCTTTCAGCACAACGGAGATGTCCACCGGGTGAGAACCACAAGGGCGTTTGGCAGGGAAAGGAAAAGTGAATCTTTCTTTTTTTTTTTTTTGACGCAAACAAGACTTACAGACAAATGTTGGCATGAGGGGAGAGCATGTATACGTTGTTCTCGCACAGGGGGTAGATGATGATGGCCTTGCCCCAGTACACCAGGTGTGCTGCAAGCTGAAACACCTGCAAGAGAGCAGAGAGGAGGACACTGCAGATGTGTAACAAGACACTTCCTGCCAGACTCCATTATTTCCACTGCAGTGGAGGACCCCTTTTCAATGCTAGAACTCGCCAGTCCCACATGTGGGGTGACCAAAAAGGTTTGGAAAGAACCCCAATCCCCCAGGCCCTCTCCCTTGAGCCGATCATCCCACCCACCAGTCGGGACTCAAATCTGAAACAGGCTTCACTTTGTTAAGCTTAGTTTCTATAGAACAGCCCCCTTTCCTGCTCCAGGACACTCTGTGGTGGCTGGTGTGTATCCTGTTGGTCCCAGATGTTGGCGTGAATAATGCACATTTTTCTGTTTTTCCTGTATGACACAGATTCTTATTTCAAAAAGAGAAGAACTTTTGGTGTGACTGGTTAAGAGGAGGGAGAGAAGAAGAAAAATAGATAGATAGTACTTTATTAATCCCGTAGGGAAATTGATGTAAAGAAGACCAGGGCAAAGATGGACAAAGAGCTGCTTTTAAAAATAAATCCCCACCAGCTAAGTTCCACAGATGACAGTGAAGTGTCTGAACCCAGTGCAAAAACAATTGCCTTACTCACCAAGAGAAAAGGGCATTTCTAGTTCAATGTGCTGAATATCTGCACCCCTGATGTTTAAATGCTAGGAATACAATTTGTAACACATGCAGGAAGATGACGTTATTGTTTGCACTATTCCAATTAGTTTTCCTGTGCCATATATAAATTAGTTAAAAGGAAAATTAAGAAATAAAACCAAAATGATACCGTAGAATAGTTAAAGTGCAGTACTTAGTTTCTCCACGAGGTGTCAGTGTTACCCAACCTAAACCAGCCTTACTAAAGAAGTGATAAATCACCACTAAAATCCAGTTTACAAGTGGGAGTCTTATTCAGTACACATACCAAAACATCTCAATTTTTTTTGAATGATTATAAAAGCAAAGGTGCTCTACTACAATTCAAAAATTGGCAAGTCGGGAGATTTAGGCCCCGGGATAAACTAGGAAGTTTAATTAAAGCTTAAAACTACGTCTGCAGAGTTGAAAAAAGAAGGCAAGATCTAAAAATCGCCATGTGCACTCTCTCCAGAAAGCCACACAGAACTGCAGTTAAAGTATCTCTGAAAGTGTAACTGCTGTGAGCAGGTCTCTCCCTTTTCACCATCCAGAATGAGCAGCGAGTTTCACTCGGCCCGAGTTTCCTGTGAAACTCAAGAGTTTCACGGGAAACTACGCGGAGAACAGGAAGCACATCTTTACCCCGAGGGTGGCGGGAGTCTGGAACAAGCCACCCAGCTGTGCTGCTGAAGCCGAGACCCGTGATTATTTACGTACATGTCTGGTTGGGATCCTTCTATCGATCCGCTTCAGTATTATTCACCAATGAAAGGGCTGGAAGGGCGGAATGGTCTCTCCTGTGTGCATCTGTGCTTTTGTTCCGTTCATTTTACAGCCCTCTCAGAACTGGTGTCCTTAGGGACCCAGGGTTTTCTGCACGGATCAGCTCCCCCTTCTCGAGCCTCTGGGAAGAGCAGGGAAGGGACCACAGCAGCGCTGTGTGTGTGTGTGCGTGTGCGTGTGGTGTGCGTGTGTGCGTCCGTGCAGGTGTACCTGCAGCAGAGCCAGGTCCGCGTCCTGAGCCAGCTGCTGCAGGTTCTTGACCGCGGAGCAGGTCTTGATGACGCGCACCAGGGCGGGGGAGCAGTCCAGGGGCAGCTGGCTCAGCAGGGCCCTCTCGCTGTCCAGCAGCAGCAGCGCATGGTAGGGGCTGCAGGGACACACAGGGTCACCTGCAGCTCGCACTCCCAACAGACACTGAACTCTTCAAATAAGTCATGTAGGAACAGATATACTGGGGGAGGACTGTGGCCCTGCAAGGCTTAAAACAGTTACTTTTACCCAAGAGCCTGATCTTTCCACTTCCCTGGAGACCTTGGTGAAGAGCTAGTAACTAGGTGACAAACAACAGCAGACCCATAGCCAGGGATGAGAGCTGTGCTACACTAAGTCAATTTCTGGGCCTCGGGGTCTCTTTTTTAAGTGCTATTCATTTTGTTCTTAAGCACTTCGGTGTTCCTTCATTTTTTTTACGCTCTGGTTTCATTTAATATAGAATCTGTAATGATAAAATGTGAAAACAGGGGAGCCTCCTTGTAACGTTATAGACCTGTGCTCAATGAAGCTACAGTGACAAAGAATAATTTACTATAATTTGTTTGCTTATGATTGAGAAGGGGTTCCAAACAGTGGGAAAAAAAGTAGGTCTTCTGACCACTAGGGGGCAGTGAAACCTCATTGGTTGCCAGCGCAAGTTTATCTACTGTAAACCTAAAGGCTAAAGGCTGATTAAGCATGTGCAGGAGAGAAGGGAACAGTTTCTTTCAAGACCCTATGTCCTGAGAATCCCAAGACACTTATGCTTTTCATCAGGCACACCTCACCCAGCCAGTCATATCCTTACAATATGAATGAATATCTTATATTGGGAACATGCTGCCCTTATTCAGTTGAAGGACAGCCAAGACAGCACTGAAACTAAAGGGGAGGGTAAAGTTTCCATAGGCTCACCGGATAGCCTTCAGACTTCGCTCCAGGGCCTCGGGGGGAATGTGGTTGCCCCCAACTCTGTGGATCTTGTGAGGCAGGCAGAAACTCACCTCCAGCCAGTTGTTGATGTGCAGTCGAACTGCTCCGGTGGTACAGAGACTGCAAGACACCAGCAAACACCTTGCATTCGTTTCCGATTCTCCTGCAGCTGCTTGCCAGTGTCATAAACAGTCCTAGAAATAATCTTTCGCATGAGTCTAGTATGTTTCACACAAACGTTAACAACACTACACACGCCTCCCGTCTTTTATGGGCAAGGAGACTGCTGTTTTAGTGCAAGGACGCCAAAAGTGTAATGAATTTATAAAGCAGGTTTGTGTGTGAGCTGGATGTGTTACCTCAACTGGTACCAATTTCACCCTTTAAACCAGTTGAAAAGGCTACCCACCTGTCATAAGCCTCCTTTAAGTCTTGGGCCAGCTTGCATTTGGGCAGGATCTGCCAGAAGGGGGACTGCAGGCCTCCGTCCGCTACACACAATGGGATACATGAAGGGAGAATGCAGATGAAGAGGAAGACGAGGCAGTGGCCATACAGTGACAGGGCATGGACAGACGGCGCTCTTTCCTCCTCTCAGCTCTTGAACAGGCTGAAGTGCGAGAGAATCAGAAGCCCAGCCGGGCTGAAAGAAACATCCCCCCCCCCCCCCCACCGCGAGTTCCGCGCGCGCGGGTCACAGCAGCCCCGCCATTGCTCGGCTCGGCACAGGGGGGAGGGGGAGCACGGGGCGCACTCACCCTCCGCCATGGCGGTGGCCTCGTCCTGCAGGGCCAGCATCAGCTTGGCCTCCCGGGTGAGGTACTGGCAGCGCCGCTCCTCGTGCTGCAGTGCGATGGCCACGCGGCGCGACAGGTTGTGCATGCAGCTGATCACCGAGGGGTCGGCGTTGGCCTGCGGGGAGACAGCGGGGGCTCAGCGCTCCACCTTTCCCCTGGACTTCGCAACGTGCAGCTTAACACTCAGCATAGCTGTGGCCACCATCCCCAAAACCAAAGCCACAGCTATGCTGACATCCGTCCCTGGCAGGGCTAACAACGGTGCAAGACCACTGTGGAAGCCACTCAGCTTTTTAAATGGTAACGCTGAACGTACAGTGCTCAGTGTGTGCTGCTTTAAAGTTACATCGCTACAGTGAAGGATAGTTTTTCCCGAGACTCCAAAACTCAAATTACAAGGACGAGAACCTGCACCTAACTCACTGCAATTGGAGACTTTCTTATTCATTGCCTACAGAGTCAGCTGAATTCCAGTTCCTATTTCCTTCAGCCGGCTGGAGGACCAGCTCAGGAGACAAGTGCAGAAAGCTGTACAACCCTCTGGTCTGAAGAGAAACGTAAATGGCAAGACGTCACACAGAATTCCGCGTCAGCTTTAAGTATAAACAGAAAGCTCCAATTTAAGAAAGGAATTAAACACTTTGCACATAACATATACTTATGACTACTGTGGTGAGTATTTGCACAAACATAGCAAAAATATAAGGGGCTTGTATCGCAGAATCCAAATTAAATATGGATTCCCTTGTAAAGTGGAATCAAAATGTTATTAAAAACTAGAGATCAGTTTGCAGAATTTACAATAACACAAATTTCTAGATACCTGTGTTCATTTTTAAACAGCATTACCTTTATGAAATAATTGCACAGAATTAAGGTCATGTCATGCTGGGCAGCTTATGGGCGGTGGTGAACGCCTGTTTTTTTGCTGACTACACCTTGTGAAGATAAACCTAACAGACACTGAGGCAGATAGGCACCCCTGTCTTATAAACTGTGACTCAGCACTTTGTGAAAATGAGTCCTTTTGCTGAGTCACTTTAAAAGACATCATAGCCTAGGCCAGGGCAGGCTGCAGAGGCTGATTACCATGATGTGCAGCCTGCGCCCCTGCCCAGCCCAGTGCATGCACAGGAGAGATGACCTGTCCCATTGCTTATCACAGCAGGCGGGAGCTGCCCCCTCCCTGTTCCATGCCCTGACCCTGCACGCTGATGACCGGGCTGGGGGGGGGGCACCTAGTCTCTCGCTGTCTGCTAAAAGTCCCCTTTCATAAAGTCATTTCCTTCATTCCCAATGCAAAAAAACCCCCCAAAAAACTCAATGATCTTAGGCATAAATCTATAAAAACAAGCACCTGCAAATATAATTTCTTCAGTTGCTTTTCATTTTGCTGTTAGAAAGGACAGGTACATTTTGTTTTATAATAGCATGCTTGCTTAGGTCAGGTGTCAAGTCCTTTATTTCCTTGACTTGCCATTTATACTGGTCCAGTCATCCAGCAATCAGAATGCCAGCAAGTGTCGTCTGTGTCGAAGAGGCCCAACATTAACTGTGTTATAGACAGCAGACATCTTCATGCCACAACCGTCATACAGAAAAACAATTTTAAAATACAGCTGTATTATTAAAATACCCAGTTCTTTTAAATAACAATAAAAAATCCCTCTTACATCTGAACTGCATTAAGAGGAAGCAAAAGAAAGGAAACATGAAACACTGAGAAAAGACAAACAAACACCTTTCTAAAATACAGTAAAAGCACACAAATCGTACGGATGAAATACCACAAAAAAAACAGTTTGTGCAGCAATGTGCAGGTGTCTTTAAACATGTGGGCCGCTCATTCTTTAGGGCAAGCTATCATACAGCGTGTTCCAGGCTGGGCTCACTCTTCGGGTGCCCATTCCTGAACCGTTCCAGCTCCAGTTCCCTGCCAAGCACAAGCTCGGCTGGAAAAGGACTCGACAAAGTACGGAGGTGGAGTGGGAACAGAGAAAGGACGTCTTAGGGCACCATACTATAAAAACGGGAACTGTCAACAGGACAGGAGCTCGTGCCCTGGGATGTATAGATGGGCAGAGCGGTGGCACTGTGGCTGAGGACCTGCGCCTGTGGCTGGAAGGTTTGCCGGTTCAAATCCCGCGGCCAGCAGAGGAATCCTACTCCGCTGGGCCCCTGAGCAAGGCCCTTCACCCCAGCTGCTCCAGGGGCGCCGTATAAATGTCTGACCATGCGCTCTGACCCCCAGCTTTTCACCCTGTCTGTGTGTCTCATGGAGACATGAGAGCAAGCTGGGGTATGCGAAAAGAAAAAGTCCTAATGCAAGAAATTGTATAGGGCCAATAAAGTGATCTTATCCCATCTTAGAGAATTAAACACATTTCCTACCCGCAGAGCAAAGACGACATTGAAGAGAATCATAGTGGGAATCTCCCTCTTGGGCGAAGGGTCCGTTTTCGACACCTGGACAGAGAAGAAAACACACCGGCTGATCTGCAGAGTCACAATACAAACATGGGGAAACGTACACGGCTAGCATTCCTCACAACTGTGAATCAACCACTGTTAAATGCTACAAGCTGCTCTTTAGAACACAGTCTAATACTTTACACAAAAACAAGTGTTGCACTTGAAATTAAAAATTCAAGTGAATGTTATTTTGGGGCACATCATGTTCAAGCTATGGACTACACAGTGACAATGAGCAGCAGGAAATAGCAGTTCATATTAATTAAAAAACAAACATGATTGTATTATTCATTAACTGCCTAAAATACGAGTAACCTAAATGTTCCTCTGGAAGGGGGAAGAAATCAATAGAAAAATAAAAAATAAACTTGAAGCACAAAGCCACACACCGCGGTCATCAAGTATGTGAAAAACAAGGTACTACAGCATCCAGAAGCAAGTAATTACAGACTTGCAGTTCTGTTCGGTATCTATCCAGCCCCTGTGGATTGATTCACTTTGGGAATGTGGTTTCAAGGAAGACTGTAGAGAACAACAGTCCTGTGGGTGCATAGCTAAAAACACCACCGCAGGAAAAAAATGCAGAGATCTGTCTCTGCCCACCATACAGTCTGGCTTGTGTGCTTGGAGAGGGAACGATAATCTTACAGTTAACCACTGACTGAGAAGACAAAACAAACGCCGCCACTAGGTGGAGCTACAGACCTTTGCACAGAAAAGAGCAACAGACCCCACAATACAAAGGATGTTGGGAGCACTGAAGTGCAGGCTATGGCAACTGCCCTGGTTATTATGCAATTGAAAGTTTTCGGATAACAATCACATTCATGTGTGAGCGACAAGCGACAAGGCACTGAGCAGCAGTGCTGGCACTAGGGCCCTGGGGACAGAGAGCCTCACCTGGAGAGTGTGGGTGTGCTGGAGGAGAGTGGGGTGCCCCACGAAGCGCACGTTGTCAATTTTCAGCTCAAACTTCTTCCCGCACATGTCGGACTTGGTGGCCAGGATTGTGGCCAGGATGATGTCGGAAAACCTTTCGGGGGAAAACAGGATGAGGCAGGGAAGCCGTAAGGCTATCAATCCAGGGAAAGGGGGGGGGGGGGGGGGCGGGATTGAGGAGGGAAACATTTTATTCTGGACCTTCAAATTAAGCACTTCGTCTCCGTTTTGCAGAAAGGTTAGAACTGAATTGCATTCCGATCATTTTCATACGACAGGCGTTGGAATGGATGTGTTCTCAAGGAGAAGATGGTGTCAGAGGCAGGTGTGCCGAAGAAGGAAAGCGTCAGGCACGTGTCTGTTTGGATAGCGCATGCTGCAGACTTCAATTAGAAACACAATGACACAGGGAATCAGCACACCCGTGATCAACAGTGTGAGAAGCCATTGGCCTCCTGACACCTTCACCGCGATTTTGAAAGCGTTTTTTCTCTGTGGGGGGGGGGGAAAAGAATGAGGAAAGAAAAGTGTCTGTATGCAGGAGCACTGACAAAACACAAGAACAAAATCAACATCTGTAACGTGCAGGGCAGTCCAGATCACCGTCCTCGGTGGTGTTATCAATGTACAGACAGCTGTTTCACAGACAGACGTTGGTGTCCCACTGCAGGACTTCATCAATTAGCTCAAGTGACTGATTAGCAATTTCTCATTTACACTGACGAATCAAAACTAGTCAGGAAGCTGGGCACCAACAGCAGAACTGATGGCCTGTTGTGACTTACAAAGTAAATGATTACAATTTACTGCCAATATGCGATTAAACACGCAGCTGTGCTTTTAAAACACTCAATACTGTAAAGCTACAGTGTTAAAGTATATGTCATGTGTAATAATGTAAAGTTTAAAGCCAAGTTGCTTGAGTAAATAGTGAAAACCACTGCTCAGCAACATGTGTTTTTGCTTTGCAGCATTATCACACTAAAGTGCGGTACTTTCTGTGTTCTGTGGGGTTGGAGAGGGGAGCTGTATCAGCCTGTGTTGGCTGCAAAGGAACATGTAGAGGTTAGCTCCACAGCCTAAACGTTTGCTCTCCCTACTTTTCAGAGCTGAATTAGCCATTACTCGTTCTTCTGTGTTCTGTTTTTGACATCAGACGTCTCCTCCTCGGTGGCAAAACACTTACAGTTTGTCTGCTCAACCCTCTCACCTGCAACTGCGTAGAGACACGGAGTAACGGCATTACCACCACTGACACTGACACCTGCTGTGTTCAAATCCAATCATTTCACACCAGCAAATCAGATCGAGCATATTTCTACCTACAGTACACTGTCAATGGATGTATATGCATACAGACACAACAGTTAGGGAAAGTAAAAGGTTACAGGGGTGTTCTAGACAGAGGAGAGTGGTTTAGAAGTATTAAGTCTTACCCTGCTACCAACTGTTCATCAGTTAGTGGAGTTTGCTCTCTGAAATGGGAATAGGCATAAAAACCAAAAAGCAAGAGGCAAACAAAAAGAAAGAAAATGCAGCAAACAATCTAAACACAGTGAACGACAGGATAATAAAAAAAAACAAAATCAGCATTACAATGACATAAGAATGACTTAAAAGCAACCAGAGCTTGGAGACAGCTCCTTTTAAAAACATATTAAAAAAACCATACTGCATCGATGACAACCGTAAAGACTCGTGCCACATGAAGGGCTGGCGAATGTGATTTTGGAACTTTTCTCTTTGATTTGCTAATGGCGTGAAATCTGTCCGTCCTGTAATTTCAGCTGCTGTTAACAGCTCAGACACTGGAAACAGGCAGGTGTGGAGGTAACCAAGGCGACGGGTGCCAAGCAGACTGCTGGGAAGGCCAGAGGAGCTCAGCCCACCAGAGGCAGGTGTCAAGGAAGCTGCCAGAGGAACAGGCTGTACAGACAGGCAGCAGGACTGAGCCTCTACCCTCACAGGACAAGTGAAGGGGAATCTCCACAGAAGCCAGTCTTCAACATTGCCAAGGGGGATATCCACAGAATGTTTGAAGACTCCTTTGCTTAAGCACACACTTCTCTATGGAAGTGTAACTGCTGTTTTCCGAGGAGACAGGAGCTAAATTAGAGTCTGTCAACCTTTATTGTGTGCACCAAATCAAAACAACGGACTGTTGTCTCCCCTCTGAGGACACGTTAATGAAACAAACGGGACAGATAACACAAATAGTAACTGGGGAAAAAAAAGGAATGGTATGCAAAATGGCAGTTTTTAAGTCACTCTTAAATAAAAACACAAAAATTAAACACCAAAACCAGACAAACATCTCTCATTGCAATATAAGCAGAAAGCTTAAAAGGTAAATATATGTATTGCTTGGATATACATATATTTGGTGTATTTCATGGCAAATGTTTAAACCGCTGAGCACTGAAAAAAGTTTAAAACAAAGAAAGTGTCTGATGGAATCAATATATATTTGAATTGAAACAACAGCTACTCAATCTAAAAGATGTGCCGAAGTTTGGCCAAACATCAATATACCAGCTTCATAGTTCACAATCTTGTCAGGTTTGTTATAATGTCATTTTATCAAAATGCTGAAATGCTGCCCTTCAGCCCAGACTAAACTGGGCTCTCGTGACAGATGTGACAGTATTCCTGAACTGAGAGTATTACTGGGCAGGAGCAGCCTGAGTTGGCACACAAAGACACACGCAGCGCAGCACAGACGCAGACCAGACCGTCCGTTCCAGGCTCTAAAACCATCACCTGCATCTACTCCCAGCTCAGAGGGATCGTAAAAAAAAGTGTTTTTTTATCCACTACAAAGCAATGGGTTTGAAATTCAAGACTGGAGCCCAGCTTATGGTTTAGGTTTCATCTATCCATCCTTCCATCTTCTGTTTTACCAGTAGAGGGAGGCGGAGCAGCCACCGCCTATCCCAGCAAGCACCAGGCCCGAGGCTGTCCACACTGCAGGCCGAGATTTAATACAGAGCAGGAAACAGAGGTATCACGAGATACCTCGAGAGAGGCACCGTGAAGCAGCTCAGTTCTTGCAACAGGCGCCAGACCACTAACCTTCAACCTGAAAAACCTGAGATGAAATATCCTGTGGTGCCTCGGTGAAATAAAAAAAAATAACTTGGCACTACTCATTTTTTTTAAGTGGGTACGGCTTCAGAGAAAAAAAAAATCCCTGCAAAAAAAATGCTCAGAGCCCTCTTCAAAAAAGAAGGCAGCCTTGCAAATCTCGCGCAAACCTGTTTCACGCAGGAGAACCAGCAGTTACAACAGGGTGGAGCCATGCTCTTTCTGTGGGCATTCTGCCCAACTTATTCACAGGTTATGAATTTGGCAGCTCATTCGCAAAATGGGAACATTAGAGGCTAAATTACATTTTAATATTGCGTTTACTGTATGAAAGGAAATTACAGAGTGAAACATCCGGAGGTGCAGTGAATTGATCCCCATTTGATCAGTGTGATGGGTAACAAAACTACTGCTATCCTGCTGAGTGAGGCTGCCATTGGGCTGAAGCCATTGCAATCATTTTTTTTTTCCTAGAATGGATGTGTTAATGTACTATGTACCATTCTTCTGGAAAAAAGAAGGGCTCTTATTTCCCACATCTTACACACATCATAAGTTTAAAAGCATATGTTTTAAGGGTGCTTTTGACACCTCTGAAAGCCAGAATGAAATATACACAGCAACTCTTCAGCTAAATCTGGGACAACTGGAGTATGATCAAGTTCAATACAGCCCCTAATAAGGATATTCAGTACATTCTGACATGTTACCTGTTCTGTATCTCATGTAATTATCTTTTTCACAATTGTATTTTGGAATTTCAGTGACTGTTTGGCCACTGTTTAACAAATAAATAAAGCTGCGTGTGTTTATTCAGAAACGAATCATGTCTGACATCATTGTGACACTCATGAACAGTGCTTGCTTGCAGTACCTTGAATCTCCATCCTGGTCTTCAGGGAGGTCAGCCACAGTGTTCAGAGCATATGGGTTTCGCTGCTTATCTTAAAGGGATAAAGATAAGACAGTGTTAAAACTGAATAATTCCAATAACCCCCAACTGTAAAATGTCTTGGAGGGTTATGCAGTAGATGTAGTGGGGTCTGCTGCCTCTCAACTCTTGCAGTCCAGGGCCCAGAGACACGTCCCCGTGCGTGCCGGGTGAGGGGTAGGTGTCCAAGCAGGGTGCTTCTGGGATAGACTCCAGATTGCTGTGACTCTTGCCAGCACAAAGCAGCTCTCCGATGATGTACTGTAACTAGCTTGGCAGCTCAAACACAAAACAAGCGTTTGTGTCTTCTGGATTGAATGCATTCTTAGCAACATGGATCACTTATCAGACTGCTACTCTGCTTCACTGTGACTTCAGCCACCAACATTACTTTCATTTACGGTCCCTTCACTCCTGTTCATACTAGCTGTGCTCACAAGGTATCTTGATCAACACCTTCTGGAGCATGACTGTGATCATTATATTGCAGGGCAGTTGCCAGCAAAGCTCACTTACTTGTTTGAGAAGATCTGCTCTCCGCGGCTTTTTGAAAGGGGTATCGGAACAGGAGTTTATTGCCCCGACTGCCAGAGCTCACCAGTATGACACTGATGGGGCTGGTCTTCTCGCTGCTTTTGGCCAGGGTCGTTTCCGACTGCGTGTACATGCTGTAATCTTCTTCAATTCGTTAATCCGCCGACGCAGTTTAAAGAAAGGAAATCTCGTATAAAAACCTGTCGTTCCTCCCACAAGCAGAGACCGCTTGTGACCATTTCCTCCGGCTTTCGTTTTCACTGGACTAAATACCTGCTGCACATTATCAACGCTAAAAAATAAGAAAGCGAGGAAAATAATCATAAACACTGAGAGTGCAAATCAAATTCTCGCGGATTCAAATGTTCTGTACTTATCATTTAACTCGTCATCATCACTCTATTAAAAAAAAGGGTCTAACTACAGTCCCAATTGTTTTAGTTACGTACATAATTTATTTACAATTTACACCTTACAAAAAGCCTGGCAGCCTCCACTTATTTTGTGTAACATTGATAAGGAACCGGCTGTATACAAAGCTCCTGCGTATAAATGGTTCCGTTTGAAAATGTTTTATAATAAAGGAACCTACGAACCTAAGAAAATTTACACATGATGATTCTGTCGATCTGTATTTTCCTCCAAGCACCAGTAACTATTTAAATGGATGCCAGGGCATTGCTTGTATAAAACTCTTTTCTAAAAGCATCTTCTTATTTTCAGTTTCAAACGCAATTCCTCTCAATTTCAACGGTTTCCAAGTGACCTTGTTTGACTTTGTATACTGAAGCAGCCAGTTTAGGGTTTTCACCTGGCAATATCATTTCCCGGACACATTCAACACAAAAGATGTTTTGAAAATTGCCCCGAAAGTGAGTTAATATGTTAATTGAAATCGTATTTTTAATACATTCATATTGTTGCTAATTTGCCATGTGAGAGTTGACATGAGTCTTACATGATTTTTTAAAGAATATAAAAAAAACATCTTTAATATTGTTTTAGTTTCCAAAGAAAAATGACCAGGCACATTTGACACGTATAGGAATGCCCTTCACTTATATGCTAAAGGATATAAATCTTTATCGTCTTGATCAGAGAAAACTATCAGGGGATCAGATTAACATATTTCCAATCTTGATGGAATGGACAAAGAACATAGGTTGACACTAAGCCAAAGTACATTGGAAACTGAGAATAGGAAGCACTTCTTTACACAAAGTGTTGTAGGAGGCAGGAACGGCTGGCACTTTGTTGAAGTCAATACTCTGGTTTTCTCAAGAAATGACTAGAGGGCATTTTCAGATCAATCATCTTCTAGCAATTAGACTATGTTGAATGGCTTGTTGTCATTTGTAGCCTTTCTTTAAGTCTTGTGCTTTGTGCAATTGGCCAGATGAATGTAGTTCTTACAATGACAAAAATCCCTTGCAGGTTTATTGTAAAAAGATACATATTGTCCATTATAGATTTTGGAATTAAATAGCAGAAAGTGCTCCATTTCGTCCTTAATCTAATCCTTAATCCAGTGTGATTACACCGGATCCTATACAAATCTGCAAAACTGTGGGCACTTCAATAGTCTTCTGAAACCCTTTTCTTGTGAATTCAGTATATAGTGTTAGACAGCCTTTTATTATTTCACATAGTGTCATCAGTTAAGCAAATACAAAATAAACCTTTAGAATAGGTCTAGAGAGCCCACTGTTATATAAATGTTTATTCTTTTTAAGCCTAAATATCTCTACCTACCTCATGAAGAATTTAATGCCTGAAGTTGTTGCTTACACAAAAATATTATATTAGCTCTTTATGAATGGCACTTCATAAACTTTAACTGTCTTCAAATCCTTTTAGCTCCTCAGACTGACCTCCTTTATTCTAGCCTGGGGGTGACTTAATATACATTTCCCTGTAGTTGTGATCATAGAGTTTGTCATGAATTGACGGCATAATATTTACACTTCTATTCACGTTCCATATGGTTTATAGGTTATTTTATTTTTAACGAATATATCGAATAATGCTGCAAGTAATCGACCTTCAGAAAAATCAGATATGTGTCTTACTAAGAAATGTATTAGGTCGACTTCTCAAGCTAAAATAATACCCCTTAGACGCTTGACCAAAACTGGGAATCGAGGTTCAAAAGAGATCGTTAATATTACTACTATTCCAAGCGAGGACAACAATGCTTCGGCCACTAAATAAGTACGTAATGCTTTTCTTACAAGAGCAATTTTAACACGACTTAATAGTTGGCGGTTTCACCAGTTACGGGACGCTGTAATCTTCAGCCGAGCAGGGGGACAGCGTCCGAATCCGAGCGGTCAGATAAGACAGGCAAATGAGCCACCGGGCGCCAGTCCCCTGACCAATAAGGTTGGCTTCTTCCCAAGAGTTGGTCCAGTCTGGCTTCTATAAAAACAGCGGCGCTCACAGGGCTAAAGCATCGCAGATCCCAGCGCAGTCCAGCTGTCCAAACGCAGAAACACGCCTGCTCCCAGCTCCAAGATGACCACCGCCAGCGAGAAAGCCCTCGTCTCTTCCATCTGGAAGAAGGCCGCAGACTTTACAGAGGAGTGGGGCGAAGACGCATTGCTAAGGTATCAATCCTTTTGTTGCTAGTTTTTTTTTATGTTACATGTAAAAGCAAAACCTTTTGAAAGCGCCAAGTGCGTTTTGAAGTGTTCTTCCCGACTTGTATTTTAATTTTAACTCACGTTAAACAAGATGCATCAATCAGTACATTTATGATGTACAGTTACGGTTTCTCCTGTGAAAATAAAAGACCTCAGCTTTTTCCACAGTGATGTTTTATTGCATTACAAGAAAACTACTTCAGGATTGTAATGGACCCTGACCTAAAGTAAGCAGGCACCTCAGCGCTGTCAAAGTTCAGTCTGAGCGAGCGGTGTTTCCGATTGTTTCTCCACTGCAGGCTGCTGACGGTCTTCCCTCAGACCAAGACCTACTTCACCAACGTGGACATCACCCCTGGCTCGGCCAAGCTGCGGGCGCACGGAGGCAAGGTGATGACGGCCCTGGCCCAGGCCGCGGCCGACATCGACAACATATCCTCCGTGCTCAGCAGCCTCAGCGACCTGCACGCCTACATCCTCAGGGTCGACCCCGTCAACTTCAAGGTAAGCGCGCCGAGGCGACGGGTCCGAACGACCCATGGCGTCTGTCTGCCATCCGGCCGGGCGTGCCAACGCAGCCCCCCTGAACCTCGAATGAGCCCATCGGCCTTTTCGCTTCGAGTCGGCTCAGGTGTGAAATCGCCGAGCTGCCGAGCTTTCGGAGATGGCCGATTCCAGCGTCCTTTTATTTCATCTGGCCATTGCAAGTCTTGGTGTGCATAGCTCTTCACTAATCCATTATTATTTTTTAAAATCTAAAAGCTCCTCGCAAACGGCCAACTCTTAAGAATCCGTCGCTGAGGCCCAGGGGGGTGGTATCTTCTTCTCTGCAGCGGTCCCGGAGGTGATGCAACATGGCTCATTGTCATCCTTTGCCCCCGCAGCTGCTGGCCCACTGCATCCTGGTCGTCCTCGCCAACCGCCTGCCCGCCGAGTTCACCCCGGAGGCGCACGTGGCCTGCGACAAGTTCCTGGTCCGCGTGGCCGAGGTGCTCTCCCAGAAGTACCGGTGAGCCGCGAGCCACCTGGAGCTCTGAGGGTGCCTGGGGGGACCCCCCCCCCCCCAAAAAAAAAGGGCTTCGCAAGAGAGGAAAACCGGGCACCTCGACCTCTCTAAAAAAACAACCCGCCCCCATTCCGAGCCAGCAGGGGGGGCGAAGCTGGGACACATCACCGCGTCCGAGAGCCTGGACTTTGAATGGTTGATGCCGCTGTTTGATCCTCTTGTGCTGTGCCATCATGTGCAAAAAAAAAAAAACATCCTTTTTTAAAAATGTCTAACTGTTTTCAGGCACCCTGAAACCTAATCTTGGAGCTTTACAATAAAAACATTTTTTTTAAATAATATATACGGTGTACTCGTATTTCTTGTGACCTCTGTGCTCAATACGGAGCGCTCAGCCGGATGATTTCACAGGTTCAACATGTCACACATCTGTACAATAAGCAGACACTGCCGGCATTTTCTTTTTAAAAAAACCTCTATTGGCTTGAAGACGATTGAAAATAATAGTCTTTCCAAATAAAGGTTTTGCGTAACATGCAATATTCATATTCGAATAAAAGTACTTTTAAGACAAGGTGTCACCTGGGTCACCTTTGTGAGCTCCCTCTACGAACTGATTTAATAAATACAAGAGTATCTGCACATTGTCTTCTTTATGAATTGTACTTATATGCTCTTATCAGAAAAGTGCAAAATGTTTTCTCAACTGAAACTGCTCTTGCATTCTCACAGGGGATAAAACACGCTAAAAGCACCGATCTGTAAAAATAAAACCGGGATCAGCACGCAACAAGCTTACGATAAACCCATGTGGGTCATTTACACTGCGCGAAATGGGAAACAAGCATACAATTAAGAAATGAAGGCCATTCATAAAAAAAAAACACCTGGCAGTTCGCTTTGCTGGGATCTCGTTGAAAACATAGACTAAAGAGTCTAAATGAACTGACGTGTATTCGTAGGCATTGAGTTCCAATGCTGAAGAAATAGTTCAGTTATGCTTTTTAAATGTAATATGGTCACTACCTGCGCTGCCTCGTCAGGACAGCCCCTTAATATGAAATGAACATAATCCGGGTCGACAAAAAATGCGAGTGAAATAATTAAAAACATTAAGGGAACAGATAAGAATAGACTAAATTATCATTCTGCTGAATTGTCTATTTGCAAATTTGCATTGTAATATGATGGCCGTGAAATGTCGTTTGTACTTAAAATGGTTTTACATGTTCTCTAAAATAAAACAAAATAGTCTCAAATTACGGAAAATATGTGTTTAACAAGGTTTAGGGCTGTACTCAAAAGACCTTTCCTGGAGCGCTAAGGCTCTCAAGGAAGAGCTCATAAAGCTGCAGATCCATAAAAGAATATAAACTTAATCCATATTGCTTTCTGGTTTAGTATCCACAAGACGGATGGAGCACTGGTCAGCTTTCGTGTGTTCTCAGTGATCTCAGCTGCTGAAAACACAGACAGCAGATTATGTGAACAATGTTGAACGAACACCAGCCTTTAGACGCAACAGGGTTAATATCAATAACTTTTCCACATTTCGTTCGACTGCTTACTGTTTAGTAGACAGTGCGTTAATAAGGGTCACTGAAGTGCGTTCTTCACATCTCGCCTTACTTTGCATTTCAGGGATATACGTCTTTTACAGCAGTAACGTTACTTTCAGCAAAATAAATTGCTGCACCTCTTAAGACATTGCAGGATAGATTTGCGTCGCATTTATCTTTAACTCGTTTAAAGATGAGGACTTAAAAACCTTTTCTAAATAGCCCGTTCCCACCTCTAAAACATTTGCGCTCTATTTTCGGATAAACGTCTTTGCTGGAATGGTCTTCGTTCTCGTGTTTCTTAGCGGAAATTCCCTCGTGTGTGCCCTTCTTCTGCGTCTGAAGGCTTTCTTCAGAATGTCTTGCGTGACTTCGTTTCTCTTAAACAATTAAATGCATGTTGTACACACACAAACACGATACCGGTTTTTCTTACTGTTTTGCTTTACGGTTTTGTTTTGTCTTTCCTCACAGCAAAAACGAAATTAATAATAGTCAATAATCAATACGATTAAAATCAATTCAACATTCCAAAATTCGAAATACGGTGAAAGGGACCACAGAACTGTGAATTATTTGTGAAATATTGCTGTTCTTTCATATTGCGAAGCTTTATCTTTATTATTTTCTTTATTATTATTATTATGATTATGATTAAGATTATTATTGTATTGTATGTATTGTATTATTGTATAATTTCGTTACACTCTGCTGTGTTGACTGTGTTACGCTGCTGTTGCACTGCAATTTCCCTCACGGGATCAATAAAGTATCTATTATTATTATTATTATTATTATTATTATTATTATTATTATTATTATTATTATTATTATTATTATTATTATGGCAGTATAAATAATTGCAACACATGTGCAATAGGTATTGGGTACATTTAGAAGATGTGCTATATTCTAGAGTACCAGCCCTGGTCCTGGAAGTAAGCAGAGAGTCCACTTCAACACATTCTCCAAATTACTCATTAAATATATTGATTGACTGAAGGGGAGAAATCTTTTTTCACGTTTTACGGGTGACCTGTCTACCCTCCAAGGTAAGAGCACTTATTGCACCAGTGGTATACCTGTGTCGTTGAAATAGCGGCGTGCATTTCTTGCACTAAATGAAGGCAACAAGAACCGTTAATGTATTTCTACACCCAGGGAGAATGCAAGTTTAAGCGCAGTTTTAAATGTGTAAAAATACGTCTTTGAATGTAGAACTGTTGGATGGAGTGCGCTTGGACGTAAACTACAGATAAGAAGCAAATTTGTCTTTCTAATCTTTAGCACATAGCAGTTTCTGTGGCCGGGCCTGGCCGCGTAGCGCAGTCAAGCCAAGATAAGATGACCTCGATTCCACTGAAGATCCAATTTCCAAGATGTGCCTTCGCCCCTCTGTTTTCTGAGATAATTAGCTTGTCAGTTTTTGGCGTAAACAATTTTACTTTTTTTTTGTTCATTCTTGTTTGATTTGTTTTAATGACAGTTCGACGAGAGACGTGAGATTGGATAAAGTCGTTAAGAGATTCCAATACTATTAATAAATTATCATTCAACCATAAAAAACAGATTCAGTGCCTTTAGCAGTTTCGTTATTTTTTGTAGATATTTTTACGTGTTCGTGGTTCATGTGAAGCTTTTTCTTTTTTTTGCCAGATGTACAAAACACGCCTGAGATATCGAAATAATTTAATTACAAGATCATGGTATACCAGAACGACAGATTTATTACGCAATGGGGACAAAATAGTTAAAACTGAAAAGCTGCCTTCCCTAATTTCCCACTAAATTGCGCAGTATCCAAAGACAGGTTCCTAAACTCTCTTTCAAAGTTAGTTCACACAAAAATAATTCGTTGCTTATTATTCTTTAGCTTTGATATGACCTGTCAGAGTTATGTTTCTACGTTACACCCGTGTTGTGTGCGTGAAACCCCTCTGAATGATATATTACACATTTCCAAAATATTCCCAGTACGTCGTATATTCGTAGGCAACGATTTTGCAACTGTTTTATGCTGGAAAAGGTCTTGTGCTCATTCCATCGTTCCATTCAGGGAAAAATAATCGAACGAATAAATATTCAATATAGCTATGTTCCGCCCTTTAGACAAAATGAAACTTTTTAATGACTTTTATACTGTATGTAACGGTATTTATATGCTTTTTTTCCTATTGATCAATATATGTCTGTGCACGATCTTAGCAAAGTATGACGTTATTAATTCAATTCGATTCAATTCAAGGTGCTTTATTAACATGACCGATGGGTACGATCAGTGTTGCCAAAGCAAATACAAATAATGAAATTCACATGAAACAAAACAAAAAATAAACGGAAAATAAAATCTACAGGCATATTACCACATTATGAACTGATTGAACGAACTAACATTTTCGAGTGACTTTCTTGGTAATCTTAGCGACTGCGAGGAGATTACACTTGTCACCAAGCCAAGTTTGCACAACATGACGCGGCAGTTGGCACGAATTCATTAATCAGTGATTTGTCATTGAGAGACTCCTCTGCGAAACTGCGCTCAGGATATCCCCGGACCTCTCCGTGCTCTGAGCTCCGCCCGGGAAACTACGTCCTTTCCAATATTTAACAATATTAAGCTTCGCGATTAAAAAGCGTGCTGGTCTCTCGCGTGCTGTGTCGCCGAGCAGGGCTTTTAAACCAAGTTCGTTTTCACAAGGAGCTCGCTGACTTTGTTTTTAACGCACACACAAAATCCGTTTGGTCAGGCTCAATTACTGGCTGGCTGAAGCTGAATTCACCGAGGATCCAACCATAAAAACCCTTTTAATGAAGTACAAAGTCTCAACCGTTCAAATGCACCGGTAATAAGGTGTATATATATATATGCTCTGGGGGCATGTTTTTACATTAGCGTCTGTGTTGAGTTTCAAGGTGCTGACTGTATTTCTGGCATTGTCATTTTGACAATATTACTTCAGACGCTAAAACTGTAGTTGAAAACCTACGAAGAGACTTTATTCAGTCTATAAAAAAAGAGTAAGGTTAAGTACGAGAAAGTCCAAAATAATAAACGTTGCATAATAATATACTACTACTACTACTACTACTACTACTAATAATAATAATAATAATAATAATAATTCCCCTTCTTTGGCTAGGCGATAGATACTTACATTTACCCCACTATTAAAAGTGTTTAGAGTAATATTATGGAAGTTAAAGGGTTTATAAAATATAACTTTAAAATATTCACTTAATCGATGTTCTGTTTTACATAACGGGGATGCGGGGCGCTCGAGAGAGGGAAAGGGGAGATCCGACCCCCCGATCTCAGGGGCGGGGCCTGTTGGCTCGACCAATGGGGGACGGCCGTCTGTCTCGCCCCGGGACCCGCGCTCTCTTTAAAAAGGGCCCCGAGCCGCTGTCAGGACATGGGCCTTCCTGCTTCCTCCTGAGCAACTCAGAAAGCACCAGCCGCCGCAGCCACCATGTCTCTCTCCACCGCCGATAAGGACAACATCACCAAGACCTGGGCAAAGGTCTCCCCTAAGGCTGCCCAGATCGGCGCCGAAGCCTTCGGCAGGTGAGCGGACAACACTTCAGCTCTCCATGTACCACTGTCAGCTCCTGCATCCTGGAGGCAGCTGTTACACCTCCTCGAGCGGTGCGTTTGTTGGCATTGTCCGCTGCAGCGTTTCCACAAATGTCTGTTGTGCTTTCTTCTCCCCCCCCTGCAGGCTGCTGATCGTCTTCCCCCAGACCAAGATCTACTTCACCCACTTCGCTGACCTGAGCCCCAGCTCTGCCCAGGTCAAGGCACATGGAGCCAAGGTCATGGGGGCGATCGCACAGGCCGTTAGCCACCTCGACAACCTGAGCGAAGCCCTGAGCAAGCTGAGCGAGCTTCACGCCTACAACCTGCGGGTGGATCCAGTCAACTTCAAGGTAAATTAATTAATTATAATTAATTAACTTCAAGGTGACTGCGGCTCTACCGCCCTGCCATCTCCCAGCGGCCAGCTCTCAGTTTCACGGGCCTAGTGCACGCAGGGCAGCGGATGAATATCACTGCACCTGAGTTAGAGTGTAATATGCTTGCAGACAGTTTTACAGATTTAAATCCAGAAACGATTTCCTGCCAGTTCTTCTCCTCTTGCCCTGTTTATTGAAGATGGAGCCTGGTTTTGAGAGCACAGGCCTACAGGCCTGGTGTTTAGTCTCTCTCAGCCTGTGTACTGCTGTACTCCTATTGATTGTCCGGTGATGTTAACCTGTGGCTTTCGGTTCTCAGCTCCTGGGCCACACCCTGCTGGTGTCTCTCTCGGCTAGTCTGGGCGCTGACTTCACACCGGAGGCCCACGTCGCCTGGGACAAGTTCCTGGCCAACATCGCCCTGGTCCTGGCTGAGAAATACCGCTAAGGGACTTGAAGTGGCACAGGAGGGGGGAGAGACAGCTAACCAACCCTGACCACACGCACGATCTGCCTCCTGTGTTTTGCAATTTGTTTAAAGAGAAAATGTGACTGTGTTCCCCCCCTGAATGTTTTGCCAATAAACCAAATTTCAATACATTCCCTTTGTTGTGCCTTTTCAATCCTTGTACCCTTTGCATGCCCGCCTGATCTGTTTATGATCAGACCACGGTGTGGGGGAGGTGGGGTACCTGCTGGCTGGTGCCTACTGTGCCATTCGGTCACCTGGGAGGTGCAGCAGGTACCATCCAGCCTGCTCCAATCATACCACCTCCCACTGACAGCGGCCCATTCAGTGGTCTGACTCCAAACCCGTCAGCAGGTGTGCCACCGGGAAAATTACAAAAGATAGTCTTGACCTGCACCTTGAAGTCCAGGTATTAAAAAATCAATCTCGTTCAATTATTTATGGGTGCCTTTCAATACTCATTTTCTATTGCGCAAGAATATACAGAAAAACAGATGGGTTCCTGAAATATTCTCTAGACCGTAAGGCATATGAACACTTCAGCATGCCAATCACATGTTGCTTAAGTCTGTACACTGAAGAGGTAATATTCCGCTGTCCATTGAGTTCTGGGTATGCGCTTGAGCCTGATCGCGAGTTGCAGAACTTGCAAGCAGTATTTATGATGGTCTCATGATTCAAGCATGGTGATGTTAGTTCAGGTTTCTTCTTAGATTGCAAAACTACCCTATAATATTTCAAGCAAATATGATCATTTAACAGAAGAACAGTCCAAAGGGCTTTGAACACAGCAGAACTTTGCTGTCATTTGTAATTTTCATTTCATTTAACATTGATGAGCACACTGTGAATACAAACGCCATTTTGAATAATATCTGATGGGCATTCTGTTCCTTTTAGCGAAATAAGGAACTTGAGGGAACGTTTTACTGAATGTAATCTGCGGTTCTGCTCTTTTTGCTTCACATTATCAATCTTTTGGGTTCTCTTTATTTCTTAAAAAACATGAAGCAATGTGCAGTTTCTTTAATATGGCAAGCTAATCGCTGACACCACCATGGAATGGCTGTTCAAAACGGAAACTCATCTCCTTATTAGACTCTAAGGCTCAGGGGGGAAAAAATTTTTGTTTTTTACGTGTGGTGTCTGTACAAAGGCGAATTACAGAAGACGCATCGTGAGTCATATCCATCATTTCATTGAAGGGCTCTTCTTGAAGTTCTTTTTAAATGATAAAGGATCCAAGTTACTTTCACGAACACACCATCGCCACACCAGGGACAACAACACCCAAGACCCGAGAGCCTGGTGAAGGTCTGGAATACTTGGTTAGACAGGTTTGGTTGAACCCGTTTGGTCAATGGGCAGCCCCCTGGCCTGAGGACGAGGAGACTCGAACCCCCTTCAGACTGAGTGACCCAAGGGGCAGCTGCCAGGTGGAGATGGGTTCTTAGAGGGATGCCTGTGACGAATGCGAAGCGAGTCGTTTGTTTTCGACGCCCATTCATTTTAGTAACGATCGGGATTAGGGACAGGGCATGTCATTGCGAACCTCATTTAATCACCTCCACGCCATGAGAAGACGACAACGAGATCGTGGCCGGCCACGCTGACATCACGCTGTGTAGCGGCCACCCCCGGAGAGAGAGCCCAGCTGGCTGCTGGAGAGACAGGCACAGGCAGGGAGTTCCGCGTCCTCGCCTCTTATCGCAGAAAGCAGCGCGCTCGGCAGCGCCGCAGTTTGGCGAGGGACTTTCACCGGTGCAGCCATGCTGAGCCAAGAGGAGAAAGACCTCCTGGTCAGCATCTGGGAAAGCATCGCGCCGGACGCCGAAGAAATTGGCGCCGAGGCTCTGCTAAGGTAAACCGGGAGTGTGTAGGGATTTGCAATAAAAATAGTAGCACTATCCTTGCTGTGGTGCACCTTCGCTCCACCGTCAGGAAAAAAAAGGCATTTCTGATCAACAGAAGAGCTCTTAATGTCCTCGTAGTCCATGCACTGACGTAAATACTTCAACGCATTTAAATAGAGAAAGTTATCATTATGTTAAATGTTTTATTGTGTTAGCTATAGAGGGGCTTCTATTCAACAGCTAACAGGCTATAATCGTGTGCGATATTTCATACGGGTAGGTCTATTTCAAGTTAAAAGAAAAAAGAAACAGCGAAAAATAGAGTCGAGTCTGCCGTGTGGAAAACGATACACACACGCATCATCCCTTTTTGTTTTAAGAAGCGATGGTTAACACCCCCAGACAAATTCCGGCTGTATCCCCAAAAAGAGGAAAAAACAGGATATTCTGTACAGTGTACTATATTGATTCTGTGTAGAAACGTCTTCGAGTTGAGCTATAGATACCCGTTTGCCTTTAAATCGCGCAGCCGAGGCGCAAAGACCTAGCAATGGGACAGCATTTTTTTCCACAACTACACTTACCCCCCCCAAAACAAAAAAAAACAACAACCGGGGGCGCTGTGAAAGGGAATTGCTCTTTTTAATTGCACGGCGGATACGGTTTCCCCACCGCGACAATGTACGGTAACAGGAACTGCAATAACACGGTTTCCCCTGTTGCGTTCTCCGGTAGGATGTTCACGTGCTTTCCTAAAACCAAGACGTACTTTGCCCACCTAGACATCAGCCCCGGATCCGCCCACCTGCGGACCCACGGCAAAAAGATCATCATGGCGGTCGGGGACGGAGTGAAGAACATCAGTACCCTGGCTACCACGCTGGCGCCTCTTAGCCTGCTACACGCCTACCAGCTGATGATACATCCCAGCAACTTCAAGGTGTGTGTGTGTGTGTGTGCTGTGCCCCCTGTCTTAACCGTTCCCTCCCTTCTGCCCCCGTCTGCAGAGATGAAATATCTCAGGCGTTGGGAAAATCAATCAATCGACTGATTTTCGATTCTGTTCGGACTTCATCGGGCTCAACATTCAAAAATTCGAAACCCAACTCTTGCCAAGTATGGAGGACGGGATCTCGAAGTGGTGCAATCGCCAATTATTTAAAAACCTGTATATATATATATTCTGCCTGTCAGTTGTGTGTAGTACAAGCTGGCCTGTGTGTAACCACCGGGTCAGACCCTAACCCTTAAACTCTTAGCTGGAAAACGTGCACATCAACAGCCAACTGTCTGGTTGCCATGATCCAAAATCCTTCAGCATCAAGAGCACTTTATTGCCAACCCTGTTAACCGGCACGTGATTATGTATCATTTTGATTTTCTTGTTACACATTCATCCCATTTTCTAAGCTCCTTATCTAACAAAGGGTCGAGGGGAAGTCAGGGCCTGTCCTTCTTAAAATATATCCCTCTTTACAGCGCCACGGTTTTCTTGGGTATAGCACCGAGGGAAGTATCCAAGTATAACGTTATTGAAAATGGCTTGACCTGTGTGACCCCTGGTGTGTTGCAGCTCCTGTCTCACTGTATCCTGGTGACGCTGTCGTGCCGCAGACCGCAGGAGTTCACCCCCGTCGCGCACGGGGCCTGGGACAAGCTGCTGTCGGCCGTGTCCGCCGTGCTGGCTGAGAAATACCGATAACCAGCCCCGTCCAGAGGGTTCTGATTCGCCGACGTGTTGCAGGACTGTTGTGTTGTTTTTGTTGTTGTTGCTCCCCAAATAAAAATGCAATTACGATTCTGCTTCTGCTGCTCTGTCTGTTAGCGCCAGCTGTTGGAAACACAAGCTTGAAGGTCAGCAGTCTTGAACAAAAAGAGGAGTAACGGAAAAGTGACTTTTAAATTCGATATAAGTAAGCTTGCCACCTGGACTTTTGTTTCCCATAATGCCCTTTGACCGTCAATGTTGACTTCTTTTTCAACCTCCTAAAGGTCGTAGTGGAACAGATAATAATAATAATTGCTTACACTTATA